TCCCCACACAATCTCCTCCATGTCAACCTCGCACTGATGACTCACTCATCGCTGCCCATTTGGGTTCCACTCGAGCGGTGGCTTGGCATGCGATATCACTCGCCGACCTCCCCAACGTACGCCCCATCCATCTCCATTTTCTCCTACATATTTGTTGAGCGAGGAGCTCTCGCCTGTTGTTTTGTTGCCAGTCATCCCGAGTTTCTTGTTTCTGATTCTTTCTGGCCATTTGATCTTGAGTATGGAGCCAGAGAAGGTGACAGTTGTTGATAAAATTCTGCAGTAGCCTGTTGGAAATGCTTTTCGTGATGTGGTGGCCAAGTTTCTGACCGACTTGACATTTGTGTTGAGAATTCGAATCTTGTTCTGTATGCTGTGTGGGTAAGATTTCCCAACTGCTTTCAGATTGATGAAGGCGTGTGTATCTTGCCTTTCTGATTCTGGCCTGCTTTGACATCTCCATCCGTTGAAACAATGCTTCCTAGATAAGTGGAGGAGGTTCCCTCTGTTAAATCTCTCCCGTAGATGGTGATTGGTGTTGGGTGTTGTTGCTGTTCGTTGGTTATCTTCATCACCTCCGTCATCTCTATGTTCACTTGGAGTCCTCTCTTCGCTGCCAGCCTGCCTCTGCAGCCAGTTTGTTGGTTATAGGTACTTTCTTTTGTTCATAGAATCTGGTATATAATCAGTTGTTTCCAGTATACTATATCACCGAAAATACCCATTGAGTCATGAAGAAAATGAAAGACAGATTCAGCGAAGAAAATTTTCTTTATCGACGAAATCCTATACTATATATATATATACATACTATATATATATTTATATATATATATATGTCTGTTCTTTTGAAAGACTGATTATATTGACATAAGTTTTAGTAGTTAAGGCGAGATTCCAGTTTACTATATTATCGCTTTGTTGTTTAAACTGATGGAACGTTGGAGAAATTATAGTGCAAATCTACCCGATTCTCATTTTCATTGACATTGAGGTTCACATTACACAATACAAAACTTTATGTTATTTCAAACTTATATGCATTCAATAAATGTGAATCATTATTATTCAACAAAGGAAATTTACTTTATCGACTTAGTCATCTTCAAAGACTGTGCTATTATCGTATTTATATTTACTGAAATGTATAGCTGTTGGGGATTGAGTTCACTAAGTGCTCGAGAATTGAGCTAGTAACTGACTTTGCATTGTCCTCTTGATAACCATGTGGGGGGTAATGTTTTGAGGTGAGTTTTGAACCGACACACTGAAAGCCAGTAAATATGACGTATTCCCAGCTGGTCATTCTTGCAATTACTAACCGCCTCTAACACACTGCTTAACTTCGGTGATCGGATAAAAGCTGGCGTTCCCAACGTAGTATGCTCACTAACATTTCCAGAGTAACTGAGTTCTAGCAATTCTTAAGGCAATGCGCTTAGCTTGAGCAAAAGTTTCAACAATGTTAGTTAACTTGAACAAAGCAAGAGCAACAATTCTACGAGGATAATATGAGCTCATCTTTTATTATTTCGAGGATTCTTCTCAACTGGTTATAACCTGAACGATAAAAAATATGAATTACATTAAAGATTTGAACATACTTTTCCATGATCACAAGGAGTAATTGGTAGGAAGTAAAAGTAACATTAGTCCGGAATGATTTAACTAATTAAGAGTTACAAACACTGACTATTTATAGAATAATTAGACAATTAGGCTTGGAAACAAAAAACAGAGTTGCGTATATATAGAAACAAGGTTTAGCTAGAAAGAGCATAACAAAAAAGTAGATTACGTAACTAAAGAAATTGTTCTATCTAATAGCCAATAGAAAAAAAAGAAAAGAACAAGGTAGGGTGAGTCATGTTTAGATGAGAGAGTAGAGTTTTCTAAACAAGAAAAAGGGTGACTAATAAAAGTTGTATATTTTGTTATCACCAGGGCAGTGCAAGATTCACCACTGTCTCTTTCTGCGTACATAGATTTGGTTTAAGTCGTTTGATAGCAATTGCTTCAGCAAAGCGTAGCAAGCTAGGTTTCTTTTGCTTGTTGATTATTTTGAACGACTTCAGGTTGTCTACAATATGACCAGTGTCCAATAGATGACGCGCAATTGCACTGTTTAATGCTTGCGGACCTTTCAGTCTCAGGTTCTTTGGTATGTGTTCAGAAATGCGGACAATAACCCTTCTCTCTGTTCTTCCAATGTATGTCCTATGGCACGTACATGTAAATTGGTAGACACAGTTGGAGGTAACATGAGGTGGGTATTTGTCCACTTTTGATTGTCTCAAACAACTACTAGTTGTTTGATAAACACATACAAGCTTGGCGGCTGGATATGTTCTTTTCAGGGCAGCGTTCAGTCTGCATCTTATTCTACTAGCAGTATCATCACCTTTGAATGCAAGCTGCAGAAAGATAGGCTTTTTCTCTACTGTGCTGCTTTTCACTTTTTCAACATGACGTCTCCCATACTTGTCGATGAACTTTTGTGGGTAACCGTTGTCGCGTAGGCATTTCTCCACAATGGATAGCTCTTCCTCAATCTTTTCTTTTGAACATAGCTTCCTTACACGATCAAATAATGTTCTCACCAATCCCTTTTTGTAACTTATAGGGCAGAAGCTTTTGAAGTTAAGATAAACCGCCCTCCAGGTCTCTTTTCTGTGTATATATATCTTATGATTTTGCCGTCTATATCTCGTTGGATACCCAGGTCAAGAAAATGGAACTTCTCCTCTTTTTCATACTCCATTGTAAACTTAATATTAGGATGGGCGCTGTTCAAGACTTTTAATACTTGAGATGCATCATTAAAAGAATTACAAATAACGAAAGTGTCATCGACATACCTGGTATAGAATGTTAGTTAAGTTAAGAGACTTGTTCATCAAAAGACTTATCACAACCATTCCGAAACTGTGGTGTGATTTCTCTCTGATTCATTTTTTTTTCGTTTTTCATTTAGAATTCTCGAATCAAATACAAATTACCATCCTACCCTACCATGCCACCAGAACCAACCAAACTGAACCGGTAAGTCAGTACACTATCACTAATATTGACTTTTACACATATTATTATTATTATTAGCATTGTTTCCTTGGATTCTGGATGGAGCATAGAGCCTTGTCTGCATTTCGGATTGTGAGGGCGATTGTTACTTCCCGGCTGCCCACACCGTGGAAGTTGGTTGCGTGACCACAGAGCCCAGGGGACAACTGCTTGAGGCCGGTCACACGCGGCCTGTTTTTGTTTGTTCTTTTTTATTTGGTGTGTCTCAGTAGCATATTTATCACTTCTGCCCTGTGACACTGCAGCAGGAAGCGCGGTCGTTGTTAATCCGGGCCCCGACCGATCCGGCATGATATTTTGTGATTTTGTTTGAGTCATAGTATTGGATTGGGTAACTGCTTTTTGTCTAACCGCTATCCAAACAACCTTTCTGGCATGGTAGGACCTCAAGCGACATAAGTCTCAGCCAGTATAGCTTGTTGGGTCATTGCGGTGTTCAAGCCCGACCACCACGTCAAGGTAGCAGCTTTCGGTCGGGATAGGACCTTGACAGTACGTTTCCATTTCATCCTGGTCTCTCCAGTCGTTTTTAGCTGACTTCACGACTATCCACTCCCTTCTCACACAGTCCCTTCTGTGTCACCTTCTGAAAAATGTCCAACTCGTCGTTTCCCGTTTGGGGTTCCACTCTCGAGAGCCTACTTGCGCGTGTAATGTCACTTTACAGTCTTCTCGGTCCAAATCCAATACTTATTTTTTTATTTTTTTTATTTTGATTACAGCTTGATTCCACACCGTATTTTTGGTACAGGTATGGAATTTTCAGCATGGATATCGGTAGCCCAAATTTTACAGGCCGACCATAGATATCGGGTGTCTCGACAGGACGACACGTCACTAGCCACAGAAATCGGTCCCGCATCCGCACCCATCTCCATTCACTTCTGCTTACATTCGCTGTTGTTTATAATGTTGTCATTTCTGCTCTGAGCTGGATAGTTTAATTGCGAAACATTCATTATCTTTCTGGACAACATTTTCAGCGCTGACTTAAACACTGAAAATTATTACACCTGACTTACAAATCTTCTCCTACTATTTCAAAATATATACCTTGCTGAATTTTGTATTTTTATTTTTCTAATAAAAATTCATAATGTTGGTGAATGCCTTTCACAATGATTTATTCATCGCGACAATTTGTCCAGTTAGTTACATTAAAAGATTGTAAGTGGAGGAGTTTTCAGTAACGCCTTAATTTACAATACATTTTCTATCTGTTTGCCTTAGGAATGGTTGTGTTTTTTAGGCACTATGCCGACGGTTTCAGTGGGGTACTGGTAAAGAGTTCCAGAGTAGGACAAAACAGATGTCCAATTACTGTCTGGTTTTCAATGTTTCTGTAACTGATATCAATTGGTGATCTAACGTGAAAGCAAGCAACTCGTTGCAAATTAACACTTTAAAATTAGTCTAGTACTCAGGATGGAGTTGTCTGAAGTCCCAATGGGGGGAATTCGTGACCAGTGGGGTGTGTGTGTACACCAGGTCGAGTGTGAGGAGAAATACTCTCCGACGACACTGGCTAGCTAAGCTGTAACACCATATATATCGGGAATTGACAGAAGTTAGGACTGATGGATTTCGTCTCAGGGGTTGATAATGGTCAACGAACTTGCCTTGTAACCCGAAGGTCCTGGGTTCGATCCCCGTTGGAGTCATAGGTGCGTACTGATGAAGAGTCCTAAACAACTAGGGGGAAATAGCTGTTCAGTAATCCGTGGTTTGCAGTGCTTCCCTAACGGATATTAGTCTGTGATCTAAGTTGAGATTTTAGTGTAATTCTATTTCGAATTGGAAAATAACGGATATTTAATAATAATGATAATATATTTTTATTCATATATAAAATAAACTGTATTTTCAATAACATAGTATGGTCAAAATATTTGAAGTACTCGCGCTTTGCTTTATTTTATTACTATTCCCTTGGGTTCCCAGTGGAACATAGAGCTTCAACAACGCATCTTCACTTCTTCTATTTTCTGCTGCCCTCTTCAGCTGGGTCCACGATTGCCCATAATCTCTCATCTCCTCCTCCCCACACGATCTCCTCCATGTCACTGTAGGATGACACACTCGTCGCTTTCTATTTAGATTTCACTCGAGCGGTGGCCTGTCGTGCAATGTCATTCTATGGTTTCCTCAACATATGCCCGATCCATCCATCTCCATTTTCTCCTACATATTTGTTGAGCGATGGGCTCTCGCCTGTTGTTTTGTTGCCAGTCATCCCGAGTTTCTTGTTTCTGATTCTTTCTGGCCATTTGATCTTGAGTATGGAGCCAGAGAGCGAAGGTGGCATCTGTTGATAAAATTCTGCAGTAGCCTGTTGGAAATGCTTTTCGTGATGTGGTGGCCAAGTTTCTGACCCATATAGAAGAACTGACTGACCGACTTGACATTTGTGTTGAGAATGCGAATCTTGTTCTGTATGCTGTGTGGGTAAGATTTCCAAACTGGTTTCAGGTTGATGAAGGCGTGCGTATCTTGCCTTTCCGATTCTGGCCTGCTTTGACATCTTCATTCGTTCTGACTGCCAGTGCTTAAAACGATGCAGCCTCGATGAGTGAAGGAAGTAACCTCTGTTAGATCTCTCCCGTAGGTAGTGATTGGTGTTGTTTGTTGTTGTTGTTGCGGTTCGTTGGTTATCTTCATCACCTCCGTCTTCTCTATGTTCACCTGGAATCCTGTCTTCGCTGCTTCGCTCTTCAGACAGTTTGTTGGGTTTCGCCTGCAAGTCTTCGAGTTTGTGTGACAGGCATATATCATCATCGAAATCCAGATCTCCTAGAGTCTTCTTACCGGTGGTCCATTGTATTCCTGCCTTCTCACTCCCTGTGCAGAGTCTGACGCATAATCCAGTCCACCAAAATTAAGAATATCATCGGTGAATAATATTGAGTTTGGGCGTTAGAGTACTAGTTAAGGAGGAAATGTCAATTGATCAAGTAAGTTGTGAAGGTGAATCGTTTGAGATGACTTGGATGCGTGTTTCGCATGTTGTCTAGCCCATCGCTTGACATGGGATTAGGTTGGAGAAGAGTTAGAGGACGGGGGAGGGTCAAACCAAAACCTGGAATCAGTATCCATGAAGTCTTTGACAGTCTGTTTGAACCAACCATGTAGGGAGGTATTGACTAACTGGTTAGGTAGGGTCCTTGGGATTCTAAGAATTAATGACTGGAGACTACTGATGATAAGTTGGCTTGAGACCGTTCTCAATGATGCAGATGGATTCACTCTTTATTATCCTCATGTTTCTTTCTGTTGTACGTTTGTATTGATTATAGTTCCTTTAAGTATCTTTTTTTCCTTTTCTCTACCTCTGTGCGGTATATCGGGTCTAATAACTCGGAATGTTACACTTCTGTGGAAAGTTCTGTTTATAAATTAAGTCAGTCAGTTAGCTAATCAACAACAGTTTCGTAAATTCATAAGCAACTGTTGTTTTTTTTGTTGTTGATCAAACGTTATTCACATTTAACGCAAACTTTTATTCTATACCAATATCTTTTCTTTTGTTCTTCAAATTTTTAATTAGTTATCGTGATCCATCAGTAATGTTAATAAAAGAAGTAGAGGATTCGTCGTCCTCTTCGTCCTCCTCCTCCTCCACATCATCAGATGCAGAAAGTTCGGATTCAGACAATGAGTCACTTCATCTTGAAGATGTCGACTGAAATGATAGCCATGGCAATGTTATTATTGAATTCTATCCTCTGTAAAATACTACTGTAAATATTTTCTTAAAATTTTCTCTGTAACCAGCTCTTGTTTTTCTATCTATTGCAAATAAAGTAAACTCTGATAAATTAGTTTGTAGTTTTTTTTGTTTAAAGGTGTGAAATGGGGAGTGGATGATGTTTTCAATTAGACATGTGAAGAATTCTGTTAAACAATAGTGTAATATCAATGCAAATGTAGATTTCAGCGCAAAGCAACATTCGTTAGCGAATCATTGAGAGCTAAGGAGGAGTATTGGACAGCTGTTTTGTCCTCAGCAGTATGCGCATCCAAGACCCAGCGACACCATACAGCCACTGGATCGGAATTCAGTGAGCCATACATTCTAATATCTGTTCGATTCGTCGTGAGGGCGTGGGTGTGCGATGCTGAACAGTCTTTAACTAGAACGAAACCACTGTCCAGTGTGCTATTTTCGGTTTTCAACCATTTTCTAATTGATGTTGGTTCTTAACGAAGTCTACATTGAAATTAATTAACAATCTATAAAAATCTAAAATGAAAATATTAGTCGCCAGACTATGAGTAGTGGTGACTTAACGGATATCTTGAAGTTCTAATGATAAGTCCTGGCCGTTAAGATCCGTTGCCTCAGAGTAAAGCAGATGTCTATCAATGATAGCATTGGTTGGAGGCAGTGTAATATCGTGAATTGGTGGAAGTTAAAATTCACGGGACATTGAATTCTAACCAAGATATTGAAAGGTCAGTATGCTGGCCTCGTAACCCATAAAGTCGTATGTTCGACCCAAGGTATGTACTGTTGAAGGGTTGCAAACTAGGGCGAATTATTTGTCCAGTGTTCCCTCGGGTGTTTTTTTATCATTAGCTCGTTGTTGTTGTTGGTTGGTGACGAAAAATGTTGCACTAAGTTGAGCTCATCAAGCTATTTTACAATCATGCTCCGTCCTTCTTTATGGCTTTGAGACCTGGCCATTGAGAGTGGAGGACATGAAAAGGCTATCTGTCTTTGATCATAGTTGTCTGCGTTCTATCTCCCGTGTGAAGTGGTATAATAGGGTGAGAATATCGAAGTTAGGCATCGGTCGAGTTGTTGGATAAAGAGGGGAAATCAATCGACGAGGCTGTAAAGCTACCTAAGAAACTGCCGAAGTAAGTGAAATTCATGGGAGCAGTTAATTACGGAGGACTATTTTCTCAATTTCCTCTTATTGTGTGACTGTACAGATGAGTATTGTCCTCGTCTAAAGCATTTATGCAGTTTAGTTGAATTCTATACATAAATGATATACCATGCATTAATGCATCGAGGTGTTTTGCAGAAGTCAGTGTCCCTTTGACACAAAGATAGATAGTTGGGGGACCCTTTCTTTAACTTGCAGGCTGCAGATGGAGAACCATTTGCAATCTGCAGGAGAAGATATGTCTGTCTGAATGTCGGTTCACGCGAACGTTTTCAATAGAATTCGCTTCTTGCTGATGTTGCAGTGCCTATCATAGGCAAGGATCTGTTTAAGAATCACAGCCTACTTGAAGATTTCCACTAGTGATGACTGAAAGTCAGTACAACAAAACTTTGTTTGGGGGAACTACCCGCGTAGGTTGAAGGTTGTCACTGGTTATTTATGAAGATCTCATCAGAGGCCTGCAGAAATAAATGAATTCCAGGTATACTAAGGTATCCCCTGCTGAAGAAACGATTTAAATAGATCGTGATCATGTATGAGTGCTGAAAGCACTTTCATTGATACCGAAATGGTTCTTCGGGCAAGTTGATTGGCCTACAGTGTTTGAATTTGTAGTGTCATAAATTTCTTAACTAAGGACTCAAGTCTACCAAAGAATAGGTTATGGCGGAGATACTAGTGGATCAGGACTAGTTATTACTGTTATTTCAAAACACTAAAATATACGACTGGTCACCTTGTATTGACAGAAGACAGGGGCCAGGCAACAGATCAAGAGGTATATATCGCGCGCTGTTTGAAAAAGGGAGTGCTTTTTTCACGTATCTTCACGTTTTTGACAAATCAATGTTTTTGTTGTGTTACTCACTTCAAGAACATTTTTTAAAACTTTATCTTGACTTTTGTCTGTTAAGTTTTGATTTTAAACACTTATATAGTCTATATTGGGTAAATTGTCTTGGCTGTTCCAGTAGAAGTTCATTATGTCAAAAGTACCACATAAATGTAACAGGGCGGAGTGTTACTTTTTGGTAGATGATGGAATACAGTGTAATAACTGTAAAAAGTGGTATCATAAGATGTGTACTGGATTACGTCCAGCTGCATACAAACGTTGTAGTGCTCCAACATCCCACTGGATGTGCAGAATGTGTTGCTCCCCAAAGATGACTTTGATAAGGGAGGCTCACGAACTACTGTCTAAAGCCATGGAACTTCCTGATGATAGCTTGGCTGGTAATAGTGACATAGACTGCCCGTCTGAAGATGACGCAGTAAGTGCCATCACGAATGTTACCACACCGGCGGTTACTATCCCAGTTACCCCGGAAGTAAAACCTACTAGGCGCTCGAAATGTCTTAGTAAGCGAAAAGGTAACAAAACGGAAGCTGCAAACAGCATCTCAGCACCAGAGAACACTGTAAGCGAAGTCCACCATGAAGGTGGTGCAGACACTGATTTCGATTGTACCATCAAAAACTGCAGCAGCCCTGAAAAGCAACTGCAGGCAGATGATCAGTGGGTAACGAAAATAAGCAATCGGAAGAAACATAGTAATATTGATGGTAGGCAAACGTCTATCACCTGTAGCCAGGCTGCATCAATAGTGGTGAGAAAAGGCGTAGCCACTGCTAAACACGACAAGCTCTCCTTAGACTCTAACATAATTGTTGGAAATTTAGAAGAGTCCAAAGAATCTGATCCCGTTAAAAGGCACGACCACGACCTTAAATTAGTGAGTAGTATTATAAGGAAGATGCTTCCAGCGAATTTCCCTGGAGTGTCGATTAAAAAGCTGACTAGAATAGGCAAAAGAGATGATGAATGTTTTAATCAGCGTAGATTTTTTAAAGTAGTCTCAGGTTCTCCTGGTGAACGGAATCATCTACTGGCTAATGTACACAACCTTGCCGGGTCAGGAATTTCAGTCAGACCTGATTTATCTCTTGAAGACAGACTTAAACGAAAAGAAGTTTTGTCCCAGCTAGAAACAAGACGTAAAAATGGTGAGACTAACCTTAAACGTATGCTTCCAAGACCTGTGTGGATAAGCCGGACCGCATAGGATGCCTGAAGGTAGCGTACACTATTATACGTAATATCGGGAACAAATTTCACGAGCTAGGTGTATTAGTGGAAGACCTTAGCCCAAGTATTGTGGCCATTACTGAAACATGGCTGGTTTCTGGATTAGATGACACACCTGAGCTATGTGGATTTAGTTGCTTGTGCAGCGACAGGGTTAAGGGTCGTAGAGGTGGCGGGGTTGCTCTGTACATCAACAACTCCCTACATGTTCGTTCCGTGAAATCTGAAGCGCATGACAGTGGGACAAGTGAGGTAATTAGCTGTGAAGTAAGCTTTGCAACTGGCACTCTACTCATTGGAGTTCTGTATAGAAGTCCCTATTGTCAGTGTGATGACTTTATTTTAGATCACCTCAAACAGTGGAGTAAACACAGTAGCTGTCTTATTCTAGGTGATTTTAATGCACCTCATATAGACTGGGTAGCTGTCACATCTCCAGGATCCGCTAATAAGTTTGACAGCCGGTTACTCTTGACTACCATGGAAAATGCCCTGACACAATATGTCTTAGGTAGTACAAGATTCGATTCTACCCAGTGATCTTCCCTGCTGGACTTAGTGCTTACTCATGACGACGACGACGTGGATGGTCTAGTTATTCATCCACCTCTAGCAAACAGTGATCATGGGGTGTTAGATTTTAACTTAAAGGCTGGCAATTTAGTCACTTTTCAACCGAAATCCCGACCTAGTGTTTGGCATGCTGACATAGTCGCTATAGAGGAGTGTGCTTCAACAGCCGACTGGTAAGTCAATATTGTCTCATCCATTGAAGATGAATGGGATAGATTTAGGAATACACTTGAGAGGGTTACCACTGATTTCATTCCCTGGAGGGTTCCTAAAAGACCAACAAACCGGCCACCATGGATAAGTAGACAAGCTATAACACTCCTAAGACGGAGAAAAAGGTTCTGGAATCTCTTTGTTTCTACTGGGCTTCAGCAGTTCCGGCTGAAAAACTGTGAAACCAGAAACCAGTGTAAAACTTTGATTCACCAGTCAAGGATAGCTTACGAAGCCCAGTTAGTTAAAAGTTCACCGGGCTGCCCAAAAAGACTCTTTTCATATATCAAGAGAAGAACACGTAAGAGTGATGCTATCCCACCTCTTATGCTTGAAGACGACCAGACAAACATGGCTGAGGATAACTTGACTAAGGCTGAGGCTTTGTCCAAGCACTTTAGTCAATTATTCTCTGATAATATTGATACCAGCTTTGTAACTTTTCCAGAAGGTAACTTGAAAATGGCACCCTTTACATTGGGAAGGATACTGTCCTAAAGTGGCTTCTAAGGCTCAATCCTGGTAAGTCCAGTGGCTCTGATGAACTCCACCCACGTATATTAACAGCATTGGTTTGTTGTGCTGCTATATTTTGACTAAACTAGCGTACACGTATATCTTAGTACTTCTTCGCGTTTATAACTGTGTCCTAACGTTGCGATTACTCAACATCCACAACGTAATTCAAAAGGCGCTTGCAAAGGAATACGATAGTGTATTATTGCAGCAATCAAAATTCAAAAATCGAGCGAGTACAAAAAGTATCAATTGTTAACATGCAAATTACAGTAGTAAAAAATCAAAGTACATACACATGGCTGAAAACATAACCAAGCCATTGTCGGTAATCTTCAATATGCCTCTGGACCAGTCTAAATGTCCAACAGACTGGAAAGATGCCATCATTAGTCTG